ACATGATTTCAAGCTCGAAACTTTGATTCCTTATCAAGCGTTTCATCAATTTTGAGGGGGGAAATAAGAGCTTTTTCAGAAAATCAGGATCTTCTAAAAGTGTATCACCCATGCTTTGCTTTCTAAGTAAACCACTAAGAAATGAATCCCAGCATAACAAGGGGGGAGATGAAGAAAGAGAAAGCCTAAGGTCCACAAGAGAGAGAACCCCACACAGACTGGTTGAGAGACTGAAGTCTGCAGCCGAAAGCAGAGCAGGAAAGCAAGAGGCTCCAGGAGTGACATTTGAAGTCCATGAACATGGGTAAGAGAAGTCTGGAAGGTTCCTTCCTTACATGGTAAATCGATTCTAGGGCATTTTGTAGTTCCTTTGGAGAATCTGGGGATAATTCATGAGAAAGACCTAGAAAATTAACTTTAAATGATGGAGGACATCATTCATTTCAGAAAAATAAAAAGATTGCACAGGAAAGATGTAACTATAGTAAACTTCTTGACTCATTGCGTAATATTTCCAAGATCATAATAACTGACACAGTAGATGTAAAATTTGACCCCAAACTGCTCTATAATAGTATTGGGAACACAAAGGGAGCCACTGTTATAAGTGCCAAATCCTTCTCTTCCGTAATAGGAAGTCCATACAATGTCTCAAATCAAGAAACCACAGTACAGTCTTGCTTTTGTTTATGTTTTGTTTTTGCCAGAAATATGGAAGTACATTACAGAAGGAAGCAAACAGCTAAAAGAATTCAAAGAAATCACTTTGAGGAAGGAGGACTCAGGGCAGAGAGATGCCTCTGCTTGTATTAAGCATAGTGATACTGTTGTACTTTCTAAACTGTGTACATATATTCAGTTTGATTTAAAAAATTAACATGCATAGGAGAACACGTGGAGAAGTTTGTTGAGTAAGCAATGAAAATAAGATCTCATATCATAAACATAAGATGAAAATATTGCTGGACTCATGTCAAAATTAAAGATGTTTGTACAGTGAAAGCTTGGTTAATAGGGGCTCGTGGGTGGCGACTGTCTAGTAAAGGATATTTGCACTGTGTGACACCAGTATGGGATTAACCTCTAAAATGTGGAACTCCTGCAACTCTGTATGAAAAAGATTGGAAATCCAGTTGAAAAACTGGTAAACTGTATGAATAAGTAATTCCCAGAAAAGGAAATCATAATGGTCAACAAGCATGTGAAGAAATGCCCAACTTTGTCGATAACTGGAGAAATTAAAAATTAATCCTTTAAAAATTACTGTCACTTTATACTCCCCAGATTGCCAGAAATTAAGTAAGACAACGTCAAGGGCGTGAAGGAACAGACAGCTTCTTACACAGCTAATAGAAGTATAAACGATATGGGGGCACCCGGGTGGCTTAGTCAGTTGAGTGTCCAACTTTTGCTCAGGTCATGATCTCGCGGTTCGTGGGTTCGAGCCCCGCATCGGGCTCTGTGCTGACAGCTCGGAGCCTGGAGCCTGCTTTGGACTCTGTGTCTCCCTCTCTCTCTGCCCCTCCCCCACTCACGCTCTGTCTCTCTCTCAAAAATAAATATTTTTTTAAAAGAATTTTAAACAGTATAAATGATCCACTCCCTCGGAGAGCAGCATGACACCGTGGCGTGGATGTGCACCACAGGACCCAGCAGCCTCCCTGATTCAGGAAAGCCTTTTACACAGATCCAGGCGGCAGCGTGGCAGAGATGCCACAGACGGTAGCAGAAAGATGGAAAAGTGGCCGGCGTGCTCCCCAGAGCCCCTGTGAAATCTACACTAGAAGCACAAGTATCTAAATTATCAGGATCTATACATAGCCAAGGGCCCATGTGAAGCCCGTTACGCTGGGCGCCACGTCTCATGGGGAAGGAGGGGTGGAGCAGCAGGGATAAACGGAAAAAACAATTGAGGCAAAGACAACCGGAGTGAGGCCCGCGCCAAGCTCTGTGATCGTGTTTCAGGGACGAACTATTAACCAGGTTCTGTGCCCTTAATGCTCCTCCCCCCAAAATAAAATTTACTCTAGATTTCTTAGAAGAAGAAGGAACTAATCTATAATGGTATCAAAATAAAAGTGTGTAAACGGAAAGAAAAAGCCTTTTTGAAGGTTGATCTTAAAAGGAAGGTTCATGTGAGGTGAAGACATCTTGTCACTTTCCCTCGGTAAAATTCCCAAATCAGCAGTGTATCCGATGGCTCTGCTGGGTCCTCACGGCCTCTGTTAAAGACATTGTACCTTCTCCAGTGAGTAGCTTGAGGTCTGCAGCACGGGCGAAACTGGAATGGAAAAGAGCCCTTCTTTCTGTCCACTTCTTTACATGTCGAGTTTATAGTTCATTGTTAGTTTACTCCAAATGGTCACATAATCAAAAACTCTAGTTTGGGCCCATACTGTCGGTTTAATGCCCCTTTTCCCAGACTATGTTTCGTCTTTCTCTCCTCCTCGAACTACCCTTTGGGGAAGTATTAGGAATCAGATACTGGCCAGGAGGCAGGAAAGAGGGTCTTAGAAAGGTCAGCAGCTAAGTAATCTGGATCCTAGAAGTGGATTCGTGTATCTTTCTGCCGCGGACCCTCTCACCCCCACAAAAAACAAAGCCAAAATCCTGCGGCCTGTTGCCTAGAGGTCAGTGCCATCAAGACTCCTGATCTTTGATTGTGTACTGTCCTTAGTTGAGATCAGGGAAAGATGGGCCCCTTACTCTGTGTAGTAACTCCCACCCCCTCCCAATTTAATCAGCACCTACCAGTTGGATCTCTGGTCACTTAAATAATACTCTGCTAAAGATTGTTTTTCTTTTCCCACATTCTCAGTTAAAATTAGGGCATCCTAAGTGGATCACTGGAAAAAAAAATGTGTAATATGTTTTGTTAGCAATTTATTGGGTATTGTGAAGAATAACTTATTGCTGATATTTCAGACCTGTCTATTATCCCTTAGAAGAAGAAAGAACGAAGTTCCTACCTTAAGCTGTTTATCAGTTGTCTTGTTGTGATTAAAGCCTCCAGAGCAAATCAGGAAACTAACTTTGTGTCTTTTGCATTTTAATGTATTTTAAACAACTGAAAATGCTAAAAAAAAAAAATTACTCTGGATGGTTCCTCAAAAAATAAAAAATTAAAGGGGCACCTGGGTGGCTCAGTTGGTTGAGTATCTGACTCTTGATTTCAGCTCAAATCATGATTCCAGGATTGTGGGATCGAGCCCGTGTCAGGCTCTGTGCTGAGTGTGGAGCCTGCTTGGGATTCTCTCTCCTTCCCTCCCTCCCCTCCCTCCCTTCCTCCCCCCTCCCACCCTCCCTCACCCCCACCCCTCTCCTGTTCACATGTGCTCTTTCTAAAATTAAAATAATAAATACAAAACTAAGAATTAAGAGTAAAAATTGGTATACAGGAGAAATATTGAGCAAGTTTTTATATGATATTAACAAATGAGGTGCTTGTATTTTTATCACAGGCATGGATAAGCCCTAGCATAAGCCCTTAGTCTTGACCTAACTATGTTTTACGTGGTTGGGGTTTGATTTTCTTTAAGGAGCATATTCTACACATTTTAGAATGATCAGACTTTTGTGAGATGGCAGAATCAGACGGACGTGAGCTTGAATTTTAACTCTACCATTAACTGTATGTCCATCGGTAACTGATTATTTTCTCTGAGTCTCAAGGAAACATTATCCATCTTTACGGGGAGTATTATCTCCATTAAATGAGATGATGTGTATGAATTACTGGCACCATGTCTGTTGGTTGGTGCTCAGTCCACACAGGATTCGTTTTAGAGTTAATACAGAGGTGGTCTGGATTCTCCTTGGAATCAGCCCCCAGTGCTGCGTGTAAGCTTCTGTGGTGTGTAAATCGCATATTGAGAAGAGCAGAACTTATTTGTAACTTAAGTTTTAAAGCTTTGAATAGTCCCTTTAGTTTTTAATATGATACGTTAGTTTTAACTAAAATAAAGACTCCTGTATTGCGTTGGTATTTGCATGGTATTGGGATATAGAATAAAGTTCTTACTAGTTTAAATCCATCACAAATGTAAAAAAAGGAAATAGCCAAATTTGTTTTCAAAAATAAATATGTTCTGAATGCTTACTCTGCTCCAGCACTGTGTATGTTCACATGTTCACGCCATGAAGTAGATACTGTTATTGATCCTATTTTATAGAATGAGGAGAGCAAAACAGAGGAGCTAAGTAATTTATTAATTACTCCAGAGAGTGCATCTGGAAAGGAGAGGCATGTTCCAGATCACTAAAGTCTATGTTGACTTACCACCAGATAGAACAGAGAAGACTTTGAGAATTTTCCCGGGTTTGCAGTAAGAAGTTTCAGGCTGCCGCCCCTCTCTCTAGAATAGTGTGTGTGCATATCTGTCTACGGAAGGGTGGGTAATACCGCCTGCTTCCATAGGACACAGGTGTGTTAAGCATATTATTTGTTCTTGGTCCCAGAAAATAAAATATTCAACGTATAGGGGGGACAAGAATTTTCAGTTACTTTCTGTTCTTCCAAAGAAGGTACTAAAAGCATATTAAAGTTCTGTATTTGTAAAGCTATAAATATGTGACCTTTCACCTAACTTTTTGCTGAAGGATAATTTGAAGAATTTGTAAAAATCCTGAATCAACATTTGTGAGCAAAAAGAAAAAAAGCCACGGTTTATAACTTTGAAATGTCATTCAAGAATGATTATCGTTTAACATCTTAGGTTAGTTTTAGCATCACCCAGCTCAGGACAGCATGGATGGACCTTGAGGGTGTTATGTGACAATAAACTATTTGTAAAAAAAAATAAATAAATAAATAATAAAAATATTTGAAAGGCATGAATTACAGAAAGATATGGGAAATGAAAATAATTCATCCCACTTATATTTAGAAAACATTCTAGTAGCTCGTGTGGAGCCCAGAGAGTCACGTTATGGAAATCTCTTAAATAATGGGTGTTTTTAATCATTGGAATATATATATTTTTTATGAATTTGTTTTGCAGCGGAAGACCCATCAGTTTTTTGTCAAATCTTTTACCACACCTACCAGATGTCATCAGTGCACCTCCCTGATGGTGGGTCTCATAAGGCAGGGCTGCTCCTGTGAAGGTAAGGACAGACCGACAGACTTCAGAGTCCTAACATTGACACCCTAAACTGTAATCAAAACACTTTGTTCTCCTTAAAAGGTATATAAATGTCTGTTTTATCTAATCATTTGCTTGTTTATTGTTTTGGGGCTTTTTCTGATAACAGAAATACAGATAATAAACTGAGCACCTTGGCGAAACTAGATAGCCAGCCCCTAGGAAAGTCTTCCAGAGGAGATATATTTAAATGTCTCATTCATCTTTGTTTCATTATTTGGGTGAGCTTGAGGTCCTGGAGCGTGAAAATTGCCTTAAGTTTTTTCATTTGATTGTAACCTTGTTTTATTTCTCTGACAAGAGAAATCATTCTTTTTTTTTTTTTTTTGGTATGTTTTATTTATTTTTGGGAGAGAGAGAGAGAGAGACAGCACAAGCAGGGGAGGGACAGAGAGAGAGGGAGACACAGAATCTGAAGCAGGCTCCAGAGCCTGACACGGGGCGTGAACTCACAGACTGCGAGACCATGACCTGAGCCGAAGTTGGACACTTAACCGACTGAGCCACTCAGGCACCCTGAAATCATTCTTAAAAAGTCGACCATTTGGTATCTTTTCAGAAGTGCTAGATGTGTGCCACTTTGGCTCAAAAGACATTTATCCCCAGGATGTATAGCAGTGGTCTTCCTCACACTCACTGATACATGATCCATCCCTCACATGTTCATGGAATACCTGTTCGACACTTCTGGGCGCTGGGGATGTAGTTGTGGGCAGGAGACAAGACGCAGCCTGCCCTCAGGGAGCTCACATTCTGAGAGATGAGCGATCAGGGGTCATTGGAACCGAAAACAAAGTATATTTGTCTGGGCACCACTTTATTTTTCCCAGGACTTCTGAAATGAAAATGATTTAAATGCACTGGGACACATTTATTTGTTTGGGAATCGTGTCAGAATGTACCTTTTGTGATCAAATGAAGTGAATCACTTTAACAGTGCCTTATATCTCATTTACTAGTGTATCTTATGAAAGAGGTAAGAAAACAGTTGCTAATTCTAACTCTAGGATTAGTTTCCATTTCTTAGCTCTTAGGGCTGGAAGAGACCTTGACATGAGGTGCAAGTGTCCCCCTTGTAGAATGTGCTTGTACCTGGTCTGCATTTGATTACTCTGGATAAGGGGGGAATTCAGAGCATCTTAAGGCAGTGCGTTCTGTGTCTGGGTAGCTCAGAAGATCCAGAAGGAATCCTCTCAGCTCATCTTTTGGATGCAGGGATTTAGAGCCAAAGAAGATGGTGTGCGTTAAAAAGTAGATTTGAGAGTTATGAGCACAAAGTGGTGGACGAGAATGACGTCTCCCAGGAAAAATCAGTTTGAAAAGGGACCAAGTATGAGGACAGAGCCTTAGGAAACAGAGTTCAGGGGAGGTAAAAGGTAAAGGTAGCAAAGCAGTCTGGGAAAGGAATAGCCCATTTCATTGTCCAGGAAGGTGTGATGGATGCCAAAGGAGGGAATTTGTAGTAACGTTTGTCTCACTTTGGATTTAGCCCGCTCTTACAGATGTCATCTCAGAATCGGTCAGAGAGAATACTTGGCTTAATGCTTTATTTCTTACGCACCAGAGTCCTCTGCAAAGACCTAGAAGGGGGTTTGAGGCCTGCCCAGACCACCTTCTTGAGTCTCCTGTCACAAAACTGTGCCTGTCTTCCCCACAGACCCCTAGAACTCCGCCTGGTGCGCTGTGGGCACCATTAAGTTAGACTCTGCCCAGGCTTTCTTAAAAGTGGTTACAGCCTCCAAAGAGTCCTGCCATTTTAATTTCTTCCTGGTTGATTGATGTTAGATCCTTTAGAGGATGGTTATTTTATTGCTTCCGCTGCTGTTGGGAGGTGAGATTTTTTTGCCTGTTAGTAGAACAAATTATAACTTGTTAGACGCCCCACTTACAAGTGAAGGAGACGTCGTATGGGAGCGTGGTGCTTTGACAGTCTGTGCTAGTGCATCTGCCTCTCGGGGGCCCGTAATGCCCTTCAGCAGTTTGATCATTTTCCCGGGGGTGTGTCCTCCCAAGATGCTCACCCTCCGTCTCTGCTCTTACTCCTTCCCAGGTATTGTCCAGAACCCACCCTCGAAGTAGGAGTTGTCTAAATACACATTCTTAGTCTGCAGCCCCCTCCGACAAGCTTGTTTGTTTTAAATATTTTAGTGTTTAATTCTCACCAACCAAGTCTCAGTGAAAACTACACATTCGTTTTTGTTTATCTTATTTCTTCGAGCCCCAGGTTTATCATATGAGTATCAGAGGTGTCAGGGCGGTATCATTGGCAATTAGAGATGGCATGCTCTCAGCCCAACTGACTGCCTGGGTTTCAGTTCTAGCAATGACACTTAGGATTCCTGTGACCCAGGGCAAGTCATGTATGAATAGGAGTGCCTTTTAGATTGTTACAGAAAAATTAAATGCACTCAATAAAGTTAACCATTATTATGATCTTAGCCCTAGTTCGGGTATCTGTAATGATATTAACAACTCCTGAAGTTTACGCTTAATCTGTGGCTTTTTAATAATTGAAAAATTTCATTTTCAAAAAGAGGGACTGGTAAAGTTTGCCAGATGTTACAAAAATGTCACGTAATTTCATGTCCATCAGTGGCCCTTGCAAGAGAACTATGAAGGCAGATAGGAAATTGGAGTGAGATAAAGAGTGAGAGAGAACTCCAGAAACTACTTTTTGGAATTCCAAATTTAAATCAGTTGTTGTATTCACAAGCTTAGATGTTTTTTTCTCTGTATGGGTTTCTCTTGATTAACACAGAACAGTAATACATACAAGTATTTACTATTTCTTACTGAAATTCTAATTCGTAAGTGCATGAATCCACTCCTCAAAGGGCAGAAAAGTTATTTAAATCAAAGCCATAGATGAGCCTTCATCTAACATGGCAACTTGCATGTGATGAGTGCTCAGTGAATTTTCTTCTCGTAAAAGGTGAGTTTCTATTGAACATTGGTTTTTTTTTCTCTCCCCCCCCCTTTGAAAAGTGTGCGGATTCTCATGTCATATAACTTGTGTAAACAAAGCTCCGACTGCTTGTCCGGTCCCTCCTGAGCAGACAAAATGTCCTCTGGGGATAGATCCACAGAAAGGAATAGGAACAGCATATGAAGGCCATGTCAGGGTAAGTATGATCAGGCTGGGTCTAGATTAATGTTTTGAGGTTGATTAATGACTGAGAACTAAGGGGCGCCTGGGTGGCTCAGTCAGTTGAGAGACCAACTTCGGCTCAGGTCATGATCTCATGGCTCAGGAGTTCAAGTGCCGCGTTGGGCTCTGTGCTGACAGCTCAGAGCTTGGAGCCTGCTTTGGATTTGGTGTTTCCCACTCTCTCTGTCTCTCTCTGCCTTTCCTGTACTTTCACTCTGTCTGTCTTTCTCTCAAAATAAACATTTTAAAATTTTTTTAATGAAAAAAATGAAAACTAAGTCCAGTCGCCCAACAAACACCCCTTGACAGAAAATCAAGCAAATAAAATTCATCCATAATTTTATTTCATCCACTGTGATTTGAAAACGAAACCTGGTGTTTGCTTGGAAATAAATTCCAGAATGTCTAGAATTTTCTGTACTGCCCCTGCGTTGTAACAAACAGATGTTGGAATCTCCATAAAGGAGTCTTCAGCACTTGGTCTTGCTGGGGATATAGCATATGCTTATGAAGGGTGAGCTATTATCAAGGGTGTATTCTTATCATAATCTTGAATAACGTTTAAAGCGTCAGCTGCATTTCATCTTACTCTCAAATTAGACTTTTATGCTATGTAGAAGTCCATGAATTTTCTTTACGATTTTAATTTTAAGTAATCTCTACACCCAGCGTAGGGTGCAAACTCACAACCTGAGATCAAGAGTTGCATGGTCTATTGACTGAGCCAGAGAGGCACCCCCCACCACGAATGTTATTTGAATGAATTATTAGTGAAAGTTAAAATCTTACCATTAAAAAATGTTTCAGAATCAAAAGTCATTTAGTATTTGAGGAATGTATTCTTATGTGTTCTTAAGTTATTAATGATATACGTGTTTCTTCTGCACTTTACAACCAGAGTGGCAGACTTTGAACACACAGACATCATCTCTAGGGTTTCATCGTATGGTTATATAGGTAATTAAAGGGGCTATGAGTGATGTTTTAGTTTGAATTGTTTTTGTCTCTCTGTCTAAGATCCCTAAGCCAGCAGGGGTGAAGAAAGGATGGCAAAGAGCATTGGCCGTGGTTTGTGACTTTAAACTCTTCCTGTACGACGTTGCTGAAGGAAAAGCATCTCAGCCCAGTGTTGTGGTCAGTCAGGTGATTGACATGAGGTAAGCTTTTGAGAGTGAAGATATTTGTATCTTTTGCAATGTAAGAATAAAACAGTGTCTGAATTTTCATCTAATTATATTGCCATATTTTTGTCTAATTCTGATTTTATGTTAATATTCTAATTTACTGATATTACTAGAATAATGTAATTAGAAACAGGAAGCAAAGTATAGTTGTAGGACGGGTTGATGTATGTGTGTAGAGTGAGCTGGGGATACGGCATCAGGGAAATGGTTGAATCCAAAAGACCAGCGTAAAGATGGGGTAATGAAGGCCTAACACATAGCATTTCAGTCATGGCCTGAAGGCATGGAGCAGAATTCCAGTGTGAGGATAGGGCATAGAAACGGCCGAATCAGACAGGCTCTTGGACTGTGTAATGAGCTGATAGACATTGAGCACATGTGCTGACTGTGGTCTCATTCCTCATGTTTTAACCCTGCCCCGTGGCACGCTCTCCTTTACTCTCTTCTTATAACTCCCGCGCTCCCCTTGAGTGACTGACGCACCCCCAGAGCATCCGCGGGCACCTCTGCGCCAAGGACTCCTACACGGGCGCCCGCCCAGCTTTTCCTCCAAGACTCAGAGCGGGTTTCCAGCAGTGGCACACACTGGCATTTCGTGCCAGCGCCTCAGCCCGCGCTGCCTTCCCCACCAGACACCACACACATACCCACATACGATAAGGACGTAGATGCGGGCGGTGTTAGCAAGGAAGGCCCAACAGAGTCTGCCAAGGGACTGGGCATGGAAGGGCAGGGAGAAGGATCAAAGACAAGACAAAGGCCTCAAGCCTTCAAGACCAAGAGAATGACGATACTAAGAACCAGAGTTAGGAAATCTCGAGGGGCCTGGGGGGGCTCGGTCGGTTGAGCGTCTGACTTCGGCTCAGGTCATGATCTCACAGTTCGTGGGTTTGAGCCCCGCGTCGGGCTCTGAGCGGAGCCTGCTTTGGAATCTGTATCTCCCTCTTTCTCTGACCCTCCCCTGCTCACACTGTGTGTGTGTCTCTCTCTCTCTCTCAGAAATAAATGAAACATTTTTAAAATTTTAAATTAAATTTAAAAAAAAAGGAAATCTCGAGGAATACATTACTGTGGAGGAATTCTGTTGCAGGTGTTGAGAGAACAGGAAGATGTCAGATAAGCCGTGTTGTGGGCACTTGCGAGCTGTTGCGGGAGGCAGGGGTCCGGTGTGTTGGAGGCTCTGGGGACCTTCCAGGGTCCAGGTCCTACTTCTCCATGTACGCGTCCTGGCCCAGCAGCTGCTCCCAGCTCTCGTACAGTTGCCCCTGTTAAGTTACTCCCAACGAGTTTCCTCAGGGACTGTCAATTACGATGATGGAGAAACCAACTTGTTTTAAAAATTCAATTTGGACATTTTGTGCAAGTCAGTTTTGAGGATTGCTTGGCGTGTGTTATCTGGATACATACCAGACACCACACACATACCCACATACGCTGACATTACTGTTTTCCTTTCCCTTCAGGGACGAAGAGTTTTCTGTGAGTTCAGTCTTGGCTTCTGATGTCATTCACGCAAGTCGGAAAGATATACCGTGCATATTTAGAGTAAGTATGTGGGCTGTAATTTGATCACTGAATTATGGGTTCTTAGCGCATATATATCTCATTCCTCCATTTAGATCATAAACGTACTAGGAATAGGTCCCAGTCCTGTATTTCTTACTGTGTTTCATATCTTCCAGTACTTGAATGTATAGACAATTAGTGCTAAGTAAGTATTTCATGACCAAAAGACCTGAGCAAAGCATGAATATTTGGCTTCTAAAATCGGGTTCATCTTGGGTGAGATTTTTGAGCCACAATTCAGTTTTCAAATATGCAACATGGAAAATTGAACAAGCATGAGGTTTCTCAAGTTTCTGAAAAACAGAGGTTTCTTTTTAAATCTCATGTAAAAAATTAATGTTTTATTTCTATTGCTTTGTAATTACTCCAAAACTTAGTGGCTTAAGCCAGTAATGATTTATTTTGTACCATTCAGTGGGCCGACTCTACAGTTCAAGTGTTGTCAGCTAGGGTCACTCACATGCACTCAGCTGGGGCTGGAATACCCAAAATGACCTTGCCCCCATGTCTGGGACCTTGCTGCTGGCTGTTTCCTGGGCGATCTCTGTGAACTTTCTCCATGTGGTCTTTCATCTGGCTGAGCTCTACATGGCTGGCCTCCGAGAGGACCAAAGAAGCTGCCAGAACTTTTGAGGACCAGGCCTAAGACACGCATAATGACTCTTGTTGGTCAAAGCACGTCATGAGGCCAGCCTGGACTTAAGGGGAGGGGCAGTAGACGGCACAGCTTGATGAGAAGAATGCAATTCCGTAGAAGACTTGCTGGTGGCCATCTTTGGAGGCTGCCTCCCCTCCCACAGGGCCATCTTGAATTGGCGAATTAAGACAGTAAAGGTTTAGGAGTGCCTAGGTGGCTCAGTTGGTTAAGCATCCAACTCTTGGTTTCAGCTCAGGTCATAAACTGACTATCCGGGAGATCGAGCTCTGTGTTGGGCTCCGCGCTGATTCTCTCTGTCCCTCTCTCTCCGCTCCTCCACTCGCAATCCCTCTCAAAATAAATAAAAAGTCTACTGCCCTAATGTTAGGCCTGCGTACTTAGTATTTGTCTATGAATACAGTGTCTGAGGACGGACACCAGAGGGGCCAAAAGAGGCCCCCTTGCCTATAGCTGATTCACACAGCGGGAGTTTATTGTCACTGCTGCCTAAACCACATGTATGTGACATTTAAATGTCTTGATTGTAAGTGCTATTTGTATAATGCTAAATCTTCATTTAAATATGAATCCAAGTGATCTGATCTTCCCTAAGATTATGTGCGTATGTTATGAAGTGGCAAAGAACATTAAGTTTATTTCTGAACACTTCTGACTTTTTAAAAGAAGTTGAGAACCGGTATGGCATGTAGTGTGTGTGAGCATGGACACGGGACCCAGTCTGGTGGGGCGTCCTTGGGGACGGTACACGTTCCCTCGGAGGGTCACTCAGATGCAGGAGCTGCCTCAGTGCTTGTGCACGGCTTTGATCGGTGCTCACGCTTAACCCAGGAAATGTCAGATGCTGTTGATCTATGAGTAATGGGGGCGATGCGTTTCTTAATGGTGGCACTCAGCACACCATAGCTAAGAAAATAAAAAGAGTAACATTTAAACTGGTACATCTGCTAGGGGCACCTGGGTGGCTCAGTCAGTTAAGCGTCCGACTTCGGCTCAGGTCATGATCTCACGGTTCGTGGGTTCGAGCCCCGCGTCGGGCTCTGTGCTGACAGCTCAGAGCCTGGAGCCTGCTTCGGATTCTGTATCTCCCTCTCTCTCTGACCCTCCCCTGCTCATGCTGTCTCTCTCTCTCTCTCTCTCTCTCTCTCTCAGAAATAAAAACATTAAAAATTTTTTAAAAATAAAATGGTACCTGCTATAAGTAATAGATATGGATGGGTAAACGTATCTGCTACCTTTGCTTTGTCATGAATCCTACTGCTAAGACTCGTTATTCTTCTGATTAGGGGAGCTGACCTCGGTGAAAGGGATCATTTGTTGAGTGCTCACCTTGTTGGCCAGAGCTAAGCAAACCAGCGTCAGCTTGAAACCTGCTTGAAGCGTGTCTGTTTTCTAACGCAGGCTGATTTAACTGTCCTAGGTCACAGCTTCCCAGCTCTCGACATCCGACAGCAGGTGTTCGGTCCTGATGCTCGCGGAGAGCGAGAGCGAGAGGAACAAGTGGGTGGGCGTGCTCAGCGAGCTGCACAAGATTTTGAAGAAAAACAAATTCCGAGACCGTTCCGTCTACGTCCCCAAGGAGGCTTATGACAGCACTCTGCCGCTCATTAAAACAACCCAGGCAGCCGCAATCATAGGTATGGACTGGCGCCGTTGACCGTGTTAGCACAGCTGTTGACCAGCCAGGGAGCGGGGCTGGCTTGCGTCCAGGAACCCCCCGTGTTCAGGGTGGCCGGTGCTGTGCCCCACATGCGCAGTGAGCATCTGCTGAGCAAGTACTCCGGGAAAAGTGCTTTCCAAGTGTGTTTTCTTCCGGAAAAAAAAACACTAAAGGTGAACCTGTGAACAATTTTCTGCTGTGTGACTTAGAACAAACTACTTAACTTCTTAAAGCTTAAGTTTCTCTGGGTAGGATGCAGGTTCTGATAACCTTGCAGAAGTTAGGAGGTTCGGTAAGGTGCGGCCCGGGACGGGATGTCTGTATAGCAGATGCCCGAGAGAGAGAGAGAGAAAGAGAGAGCAGTTTCTGGGTCTGGAGGTTTCAGTTCCTGTCAGATTATTGGTACACATCCAACTCTTTTGTTACTTTCTAGTAAATAATGAAAAGTTAACAAGTAGGGTCCAAATGCCTTCCACATTTTCTCCCTCCCAAAACAAGTAGAACTGGGCCCATGGCACTCGCAAGCTAGGTTTTTTTTCTTTTTTTTCCCACCCTCTATTGTATAAACATTACTTCTTTTTTAAGTATTGATATACTTTCTAATGATCGTCCTGTTAAAAATGACATGAGGTAGGGGCGCCTGGGTGGCTTAGTCGGTTAAGCGTCCGACTTTCGCTTAGGTCATGATCTCGCGGTTCATGGGTTCGAGCCCCGCGTCGGGCTCTGTGCTGACTGCCAGCTCAGAGCCTGGAGCCTGTTTCAGTCTGTGACTCCCTCTCTCTCTGACCCTCCCCCACTCACGCTGTCTTTCTCTCTGTCTCCTAGAAATAAATAAAACATTTAAAAAAAAAAAAATGACATGAGGTAATATTTACTTCAGTCATCTGAAAGGGAACTTAATAGTACAAATTGTTATTGTTATTTTTAAGTTACTTACTTGAGTGTTTTTGCACCAAATTTATTACCTATTTTGTTCTATCGGTTTAACCCAGCTTTGCCTGTTAACAGTGTTTCATATTCATGTCTTCTGTAGACCACGAAAGGATCACTCTGTTCACAATGTTTCATATTTGTGTCTTCTGTAGACCACGAAAGAATCGTAATCATGTTTTGTAGTAATCATGTTTTGTATTCGTGTCTTCTGTAGACCATGAAAGGACTGCCCTGTTAACAGTGTTTCGTATTTATGTCTTCTGCAGACCATGAACGGATCGCGTTGGGAAACGAAGAAGGGTTATTTGTTGTACACGTCACGAAAGATGGTAAGAGAAAAATTATTGCGGAGTAACTTTCAACCCTATGTTGTTAGAAAAATTCTAAACTCTAGGTTTTAAATTATAAGAAGAGCAGGATTTGATCTTATTCATTCTGTAATTGAAATTTTCCAGACCTCATTTGATGTGTTTCTAAATCAAAAGGTAATTTTTAAAATTCTTTAATCCTCTGAGTTCTTAAACTTCCAAGTGTGTGTTGTGTTTCTTGTATCATTTATTCAGCACCTGTGCTCTCCAGACCGCCTGCACGCCTGAAGAGGGGACGTGAAAGATACAGCCAGACTTTTCATTGCTCTGTTAGGATTAGAAGTAGTAGCCGTCATTCAAGTATGTGTTCACTGTTGCAGGATTTTCTCCCGCATTTACTACCGAAGATTTTTTTTCCAGGGCCAAATTAAATACCGAGGAAATAAAAAGGAACCAATTTATTAGTGTCCTATTTTTATATCAAGTGCGATCGTGGGAAGACAGTGCACTTAAACTGCATCTGTTACCCCTAGAATACGTTCAGTGAAATAAGTGTTTCTCAGTTTTTAAAACAGGAGTGCCATGGAGACGTTGCCAAGAGTTTAGTGCCAGCAAAAAGGTTTCTCCTGAAGGCGTGGTACCCTTTTCCTTACCTCACTGTGGGTGTGTGCCGTTACCTTGTGATGGGTATAATTATCTCCCCCTTTCTCCACATGAATCTGATCTCTTACCTTCCGTGTGCATCCATGTCTTCCTTATAAGTTGACCTTCCTTGTGCGTGTCATTGGGATATGAGGAATAACTAAAACGTTATTCTGCTTTTGATTTATTATTGCTTCTTTGCACAGAAATCATCAGAGTCGGTGACAACAAGAAGATCCATCAGATCGAACTCATTCCCAACGATCAGCTTGTTGTTGTCATCTCAGGGCGAAATCGGCACGTGCGACTTTTCCCCATGGCAGCTTTGGACGGGCGAGAGACCGATTTTTACAAGCTGGCAGAAACGAAAGGCTGTCAAAGCATAACTTCGGGCAAGATATGCCACGGAGCTCTCACGTGCCTGTGTGTGGCAATGAAAAGGCAGGTCCTCTGTTACGAACTATTTCAGAGCAAGACCCGTCACCGAAAATTTAAGGAAATTCAAGTCCCGTATAACGTGCAGTGGATGGCGATCTTCAGCGAGCAGCTGTGCGTGGGGTTCCAGTCGGGCTTCCTGAGGTACCCCCTGAATGGAGAAGGCGGTCCGTACAGTCTGCTGCACTCAAACGACCACACGCTGTCGTTTATCACGCATCAGCCGATGGACGCCATCTGTGCAGTTGAGATCTCCAGTAAAGAGTACCTGCTGTGTTTTAACAGCATGGGGATATACACGGACTGCCAGGGCCGGAGATCCAGACAGCAGGAGCTCATGTGGCCAGCCAACCCCTCTGCCTGTTGTAAGAGTCTCTTTCTTTTGGCCGTTTTCCCTCGGTGTCTCCTTCCTTCTCCCTCAGCCTCATTTCCTAATACATTCCCTCTTAATACCGGCTTATTTTCCTAGCTCTTCCGCGAGGTTTTGCCTAAGTACTAATTATGTCATTTGCACCAAGTAACTCTCCGTGGTTAGTTAGACCTAGGCCAGCAGGGTGGTCACAGTCCATAGTTGAAGCTGATCTTTCAGTGGAACATTTTACTTAGCCAGATTTTGAACCGAAGTACCTCTAAGCAACTATCTTCACTGTCCCCAAAAATACAATCTTACGAGCATAAACGGCCCCTAAGACTTACTCTGGAGAAGTAGTTACTGAGTGAACTACATAAGCCCTGATGTAAAGTATAACACAACAGCTAAAAGACGCCTTTCTCCACTTGATGGTTTTTTCTGAATACACGGATATTTAAGGTCGCCTCTTGCACCCTTTCAAGAACTACGAGGACATCAGTGAAGTAGCGGATGCCCATCACGTGCCCTTTCACTGGCCAAGATGCAGCCAGAGCGCAAGAGCAGCAGTGTCCTCACGGAGCACAGGGTGGAGTGGGCGGGACCCCTGTGGGCCGGGATGCTGCAGTGGGCTGTGGCCACCCTGTGGGGATGCGCAGGGCACCTAACCCCAAACCCTCAGCAGACGACACCTGAATGTGTTTGAATGCTGATCCGCTCAGCATTCTCCAACCAGGAAAGGTCAACTGTGTGGTAAATCCAGGAAATAGAGTAAGATCCCCACGGAGGCCAGACAGGATGGGTATCAAAACCCAGGGCAGGGTGGGGGTGAGGATCGGAGGTTGGGGGGCATGAAACCTCTTCCACTGGCCCCTGTGGGGAGGGATGGCGGGCACGGGCCCGTCCATGTAAAGGTTCAGTGGAAGAAGAGTTAGGAGGCCGTGTGTGCTTGTTACAGGAGTGAGAAAACCTAGATCTAAAAAAGAAAGAAAGAAAAAGAAAAATACTTCTAATCCTCCCTACCCAGACCTAACAATTCTTACATTTTTGTTTCTGTTACAATATGTACTTTCCTCTGTGGTGGTGTACGCAGGGTAAAGGCTGTCTTGTAACCTAGTCAGGTAATGGTGCAAAGCATTCCATCTAAGTGGAGTGAGAAGTAGAATATCTGGCTTGTCTGAGTAGCGTGGCCAGTAGTTTAATCCGTGACTCCGGCTTAGGTGATCGTCTCCTCCCTCTGCTCTGCCACTGTCGATGCTCATTCCATCACTGAACAGTTTTGAGGATTCATGTAACCATGCGAGGTGCTCTATCGTACATTCATAAAGGCGACTGCACGTGTTAATTCTGTTTCACTGTCAGTCATTCAATGGTCTAGGAATCAAGTATTGAAAACGTGACATGAGACATCCCTTTATAGAACTAGCATCAGACAAGGGAGCGTCACGCCCTCAGCATGAGCCAGAGCCTCCTGTGTGATAGCTGCCGTCTCATCCAACCCATAGCACGTCCACTGCTCGTTTATGGTTTATGTTCTGCTCAAAAATGATTGGACGCGGCCGCTGTGTGACTGCAGTAGGACTTCAGTGGGATTCCGTTCTACGATTATTTAGCATAGATCTTTCAGAATGTTTTGGGTTGAAGAATTAGAAGTACGGGAGTGCCTGGGTGGCTCAGCCAGTTAAGTGTCTTGATCTCAGCTCAGGTCTTGATCTCAGGGTCATGAGTTCAAGCCCCATGTTGGGCTCTGCACTGGGCATGAAGCCTACTGAGAAAAAAAAGAGGCGCCTGGGTGGCTCAGTCAGTTAAGCATCCGACTCTTGGTTTCAGCTCAGATCATGATCTCAGATTGAAATCAATCCCCCCCCCATCAGAATCTGCACTGAGCACAGAGCCCGCTTAAGATTCTCTCCCTCTCTCTGCCTCCCAAGCTCGCATGCATATGCATTCATGCTCTCTCTCTCAAAAAAAAACAAAACAAAAAAAACAAGTAATTAGCCACTGTTCCCTCATTCCCTTCTCATAGGCTACAATGCACCGTATCTCTCAGTGTACAGTGAAAACGCGGTCGATATCTTCGATGTGAACTCCATGGAATGGATTCAGACTCTCCCACTCAAAAAGGTAATTTAACCCTAAAATAGGGACTAGCAAACTCATGAATGTAGTGTAACACTGATGAGACCCATTAGCTCTTTTCACTAATCGAGCATTTTCTGGTGGTTGCTATGTGGGATTTAGCTAAGGGAAAGGAGATAGAAACAGAAGACGAGCTGGTTAATTGTATAAGTAGCTCAACACCATAGTATTTTTTATCACATTTAGTTTCACCGTGTTTTGCTTTGTCAACGTGAGTATCATGATAACCAGTGACAGGAACGTACCATCCACCTCACATGCAGGTCCTCCTCTCCTTCAGGAGCTCTGGGCAGGGGGTGGGAGGGGAACACCGTCACTCCTCCTTGTGGCTGTCGTTCACGGCGTGGCGTGTGGGTGGTGATCCTGTGAGACAGACCCCACAGGCTGGAAAAGTGACTAACCTGAGAGCCCAAACTATGCTGAAGCATCTTGTGATTAAAAAAATAAAGGTGTTATATGTTCCTCATAGAACATGCTCTTCCCTATGATGATAGAGAATTTTTACAAGTATACAACGACTGTTGTGCATCGGTGAAGAGTAATGGTGTCACGAAGACGTACGTAGCTTGCGTCGTCTGCGAGGGGCAGGGTTGAGAAGAATAGGTGCAGGAAAGTAGCCAAGGTCAGATTTCAAGGTCTGCCCCAACGTTAAAGGACGTCAACAGTGAAAACTCTTGGAAATACTCCCACCTCATGTAAAGCACCCAAAATATGGCCCTCTGGCTTGCAATTTGGGGCTGATTACATGTAATTTTCCGTTTTATCATGTAAATCCTATAATACATACAAAAGAATAGGACCTTTATGAAGTATAATAATTAACTGCTCACTCATGACCCCACCTCCTAACTTCGGGCCCAGAATATTACCAACATCACTGCCTCTTCCATCGTACACGTCCCTTGTCCCGTCCGCCAGGCCCCTCCAAAGGAAATCACTACCCTGAATGTTGCGTGTACCATTCCTTTCCTTTTCTTAAAATGCAGATTTTTTTTTGGCATATTTAAATATTCCTCAACACTTGTTTTGTTCTGTATCATTCAGTTCTATTCGCCTGTGAGCTTTGTGAAAACGTTATGTTGTGTGTTCTCTGCCTTGCTTCCTTCACGCATATTCCAGGGTCCATCCGTGCAGTTACAAATAGTGCATTGCTTTTCACAGCTATAAAATATTCTGTCGAGTGACCAAGTCACAATCCGTTTCTCCATTGTCTCATTGGCAGACACGTGAATCATTTTCCAGGTTTTGCTGCTGTGACCGCTGATGCCTGTGTCATTGGGCGTGTGTGTGCTTGAGCGCCTCTAAGTCACGTGTCTAGGACGGAATTGATGGAACACAGGGAATGCAGGGGTTCAACTTTACAAGCTAGTGTTGGATTATTTTCCGGAGTAATTGTACGGGCTCATACTCCCCCAGCAGTACACGGGAGGGCCTGCTCACCCACATCTTCTCTGACCTTGCCGTTCTCAGGACTCATTGTTTTATAACCATTATAAATGGTTGCAGCATGCTGTCTCAGTGAAGCATTACTTTGCTTGTCTCCAATTAACTGTGTTGTTGAGAATCTTTTATATGTTCATTCATTCTTATTTCTTCTCCTGTGAAATACCTACTCATGCTTTTTGCCTATTTTTCTGTTTGGCTTCTTTTTCTTACTGATTTATTGAAATTCTTTATATCTCATAAATACTGGGGAAAGGATGGGGTAAATCTTTTCTATTTGTGACCTATTTTTATGTTGTATTTTTCCAAGCATATATTTTTGTAAAATAATGATAAATCATATTATTTTGCTAAAAACTTACTGTTATAAATTTTAATGTCATTATGTGTATCACTCTTCTCCTTTACATTTATGTTTCTTCTGTTAAGAAACTCCTACCTCAAGGTCATAAAGATATGATCTATATTTTATTCCAAATGTTTGAAAGGTGTGCCAATTACATCAACGTCATGAATCTATGGAGTTGGTGTGGGTTTGTGTGTGGTGTGAACTGGGGATACCGTTTTCTCTGTGCGCCATTTCCCAGTGATGCAGTTTCATCTCTGTCATATGTGGACATTTAGTTCCACCCAGGTTCATAAAGTAGCTGTGTTGATATCTCCTTAGTATGATTATGTAGTCACTAAGGCTTTAAAAAGCCAAATTTAAGATTTCAGTGTATTTCTACTTTTTTCCCCAGAATATTCTTCCTTTAAAATATTGTCATCATAGGGGCGCCTGGGTGGCTTAGTCGGTTAAGCGTCCGACTTTCGCTTAGGTCATGATCTCGCGGTTCGTGGGTTCGAGCCCCGCATCAGGCTCTGTGCTGACTGCCAGCTCAGAGCCTGGAGCCTATTTCAGAGTGTGTGTCTCCCTCTCTCTCTGACCCTCCCCTGCTCACGCTGTCTCTCTGTCTCCTAGAAATAAATAAAAATATTTAAAAAAATAAAATGTTATCATTATAACTGTTTATTAAAATTAGATCATTGTATACCCACTTCCATCAGAATTAATGTTGATTTTTCTGAGAGTGCTATCTTCTGAAGAGGAAAGATAAATGAAAGGTCTTAATAGTCTGTACTTTACAAATAGGCCTAAAGTTTTATGATTCCATTGGATGGTGTTACTGAAATGCTAATTATATATTTTTTTCATTCTTATTTTAGGTTCGACCCTTAAACAGTGAAGGATCATTAAACCTTTTAGGGTTGGAGACCATTAGATTAATATATTTCAAAAATAAGATGGCAGGTAAGGAAATAAAACATTAATGGGATAGTCCCAGGGAAACATTCTCTCTGAGCTGACTGCCTAGAGATAATTAATAAATGGCAGTGACCACATTTAAACTCAGGATTCTCTTAGTCCAAAGTCTGTGACCCTGACTTCTGTCATACTCTCTCAATATAGTAAGTTAAATGGATAAAAAGTCCTTCCATCTAACCTTGTGTAGCTGTAGACAAAAATACTTGTTTGTGACCTCCCTTATTTTTCTGGGAAGTCCTGAATTAAGTGGAGAAAGTATGGCTGAAAATAGTATTTTCTGGACTATCAATGCTGCAAAACCCTAACCAAAGTCTATAATGGCACTAAAATGGTGAACACTCATCCGGAATTCTGACCGGGGACTTCAAGAGCATATCTTCCGCCAAGGGCACCTGGGGCCTAGAACTTCATGAGTGGCCATGACAGCACTGACCGCCAGAGTCAGGAGGGCGAATGGGAGCCAGGGAGGGCACGGGCGGTGTCCATGGACATGTGGTGGCCCCTCGGCACTCGGGTCCCTTGGCTGACCGACTGGTGGGTAGAGGAGGTCCTGCCTGAGGGGATATTCCACCGTGACATGAGAAAGGAGAGTGGGGTTTTAGAAGCGATTCCCACTCAGTGATGGATTCACCATGAAGCTACTAAACTTGAGCTCTAAGCCTCACCATGCCTGGGGCCTGTACTTAATTTGCATCTGTTTCCTAGAGGAAGTCCACATATTCGTATAGGGTCAGCTTCACCTGTTCTCAGCGCTTGTGGCCGGAATGATCCAGAAAGTATCCATTTCCCAGTTCACGTCTGTAGGATAAAGCCTCTTCCCACGCGTGTTTCCCCATCTTTCCACCCCTCCTTCTGCTGCTCTAGGCCGGCTGCAGAGGCGGAGCTTGGAGAGGGAAGACCTGGCAGAATTTCAGCACCTGCGTCTTGTGCTCAGCAAGGGCAGGGGGTGCCCGGTCCCCCAGAGGCCCTTTCCTTTTCTCTGTCTGGCTCAGACAACAAAAGGAAATAAAAGGCATCAGAATTGATAAAGAAGAAGTCAAACTTTCACTTTTCGCAGACGACATGATACTGTACATAGAAAACCCGACAGACTCCACCAGAAGCCTACTAGAACTGATCCATGAATTCAGCAATGTTGCAAGATATAAAATCAACATACAGAAATCGGTTGCATTTTTATACACCAATAATGAAGCAACAGAAAGAGAAATCAAGAAACTGATCCCATTTACAATTGCACAAAAACCATAAAATACCTAGGAATAAACCTAACCAAAGATAGAGGAGATCTGTATGATGAAAACTATAGAAAATTTATGAAGGAAATTGAAGAAGACACAAAGAAATGGAAAACCATTCATGCTCATGGGTCGGAAGAATAAATATTGTTAAAATGTCATTACTACCCAAAGCAATCTACACATTCAGTGCAATTCCAATCAAAATTCTCTGTCTGGCTCGGTCATTCAACTCTCGGGCTCAGTGTTGCCGCGGCCTTCATTCCGGCCATCACTTGTCCCCCACCGCCACCAGGACCCAGACCTCCTCCGGCTGCACAATTCTCACGCTCTAAAATCGTGCTTCACACGTAGTTAAGGCCAGCTGATGAGGCTGCATTATTAGGGTACAAGAAGAAAATTGCTTTTCCACTAACCCCCTGCCTCGGTTCACCTTTTCCTCACTTCAGCTTTGTGGGTGTTAAAAACTCTTCAGATGGGCTTTTCTTCTGTTCCACGTTGAGAGAACGGCATTCCTCATGTTGTGTGAGCACAGCTGCCTCTTTCATTCCTTGCGTGTGTTCACCGATCTCCGCGTGTCTGGGGAGCCTGTGGCTGGCGGTGGTTTACTTGTAGGTGTGAACATTGAACCCGGGTGCTGGGCGCATATGGTGAAGTATCCGCGCCCCACCGGCACGGGTTGGGGGCGGGGGGTGTAGAAACAGAAGAGTCGGGCCTTCAGTAAGGGAAGCTGGTCTAGTGCGGGTTTTTGTCCTTACCCACATCCAGCAGATTGGCTCTTGCACAGGAAATGTTTTATTATGTAAAAACAATTTTAATGAACATTTGCGTGAATAGTTTACCATTGATGCTGAGGACCATGTAGCTTAACCTGAGACGTTTTTTTAACACCTTAAGCCATTGGAACCAGTACTCGGAAAATGAGAGAAGACAGTGCAGAGGGATTGGGGTGGGGGGTGGGCACAAGGCGACAGGACCTGCATGCAACTGCATTTTCCTTTTCTTCCACTAAAATGGTGCCACTGTGTGTTTGTAATCCAATCAAGGTGAAAATGCATTTCGTAAGCTAGGTTTCACTTTGCGTATACCTGTTCCCATATGTCCCGGTGTGAATTACTATTTACCGTATCCGCACAGCTTTCAGAAATGTGAACTGGGTACATTGGGCAACTGAGTCATGCTTGCACTGCCTGGGAGACTAACGGACAAAAAGCATTTTAGCGCTTTAAAGAACATCGCTGTTCTTCGTATTCTTTTAACAGAAGGGGATGAACTGGTGGTTCCGGAAACATCGGATAATAGTCGAAAGCAGATGGTTAGAAATATTAACAATAAGCGACGCTACTCCTTCAGGGTCCCAGAAGAGGAAAGAGTGCAGCAGAGGAGGTAGGGGGGCGACAGGGCCCTCTGCAGGGGGGGTGCGGGGGACAACACAGTGAGCTGCTGCGGAAGGAAAATGTCTCAAAGTCCGTCGCCCCTCTGTGGTGTCAGACACCACAGTCACGAATGTCCTTCTCAGGGTGACTTTAATGAGTCCTCGCCACAGTGCAAATATGCGCTGGGTTAAAGTGCCACATTTTCATCCATCTCTCTGTGTACATGAAATACTCACAGTTTCTAGAATGTGAGCCTTTGTGCCATATAAACAGTTCCTCACTGCGTACAGGGCACATGTACAGGCATGAGCACTTCAGGGTAACTCTTCTCTTCAAGAGCAAACAGCCCATAGGCTGGTAGTATTTCCAGTTACATGTAAAAACGTCCCTAAACCGTTATCAGGTATTTTAAAAGACCTGCAGAAAATGGTCCGGACTGTCTGTGGCCTAGAGCTTTGGTATGTGAGTGCTGAGAAAGCCCTCTCTGTTCTCCCACCAAAAAGCACAAGATCTTGTAGCTAAAAACAGAAGTTCCGAAGTTTTAATTGAGTATATTTTCTTATTTATTCTATTCTATTCTATTCTTATTTATTTCTATTATTCTACTGAACTTGATTTCACCATTTTATTTTTGTGACCAAGGATGCTTAATTGTTTTCTCAAGTTTAACCAGACGGAGCACAGAAAAAGTGTCTAAACAGGTGTTTTCTCTTACAGAGAGATGCTACGAGATCCGGAAATGAGAAATAAGTTAATTTCTAACCCAACTAATTTTAACCACATAGCACACATGGGCCCAGGAGATGGCATTCAGATCCTAAAAGACCTGCCCATGGTAAGAAAAAGGGTGGCTGGGTGGGGACGGGGTTACGAGTGGGGCGGGGAGAAGACACATATGCGCGCGTGGGCCTAGCGCGATGCGGGAGTGTGATGACAAGAGGCTCATGTCCCCGTAGCGTTATAACGTGTGATGCGCACGTGAAAAACCGCATTCGGGCATCTGTGAGGGACCAGACAGATCAGGTTGGTAGCTGCACAGCCCGTAAACTTGCCCCACATCCATTTGTGGGGGAGCACACCGCCAGGCTGGGGGAGGGTCTCTCCTGGGATTCAGGGCCCGCTCACCAGATCAGCGACATTTCTACGTGGTAGCAGTTCCCTACAGATGTTTGGCTATTTCCCACCCGCAGAGAACCCCATATGCTGGTCATTAACGGTCGCACCTGTTACCTGGTTGGGCGGTCATATCTCTGTCCTCTCCCCGGTGACCCACCTGTTGCCCGGTCCATCTTCCACACAAAAGTACAACATAGGGAAACTGGTTTGTCACATGGAGGTCGGATCCTTGGACCCATGATGTTGAAATTAAGAACAGGAGCGGAATTAGGAATTTTCCAGGCTCTGTGCATATCGCATCTTGGTATCACAATACTGAGCAAACTGCTGACACGTTAATAGGCCCTTTGGGTGACTGGTGGTAGCATTCAGACTGAGAGTCTGGACCCCAGGCTCCTTCTGAGGGCACCTGTCTTCTTACCTCCTCGCCGGCCCGCTCTGCTGTGACAGGAGATAGGAACACATGTACCCAGGAGAAAAAAATGCTGGGTCATCTCGTTTAATGTGCAGTCAAGCTTTTAAAATGGCAAAGTTAAACTTTAAAAGGTCATTTTGCATTTGTCTCATGAGAGGAACCAAAAAAAGTCAGTCCTGGAGTCTGAGTCCCTCAGCGCACATCCCAAGTGGCCATTGAGCCCGTTCATGAATCAACACTGCGTTCTTACTGCTCGTAGCAATGACCCGGTGGTGGCCGTCCCTTCCTCTAGGTTCTCAGCTGTCACAATAGCCCTTCACCCGCTGGCAACCAGGATGTTTACCAGAAAAGTATAGATAAGCCAAAAGGTTACACATGGCCATTAAAACTAGGTAAAAACTCGAAGACCCAGCATGTTAGATATTCCACTGTTATACTTCTCTGTGAGTTACAACTTACACTGGTTTTTCGCCTTTTTGCCTGGCGGTGAGAGTTCAGACTTCACTCTTCACCCGTTCGGATCATCTGTTTAAAGAATTTTTTTTAATGTTTTAATTATTTCTGAGAGAGAGAGAGAGACAGTGTGAGCAGGGGAGGGTCAGAGAGAGAGGGAGACACAGAATCCGAAGCAGGCTCCAGGCTCTGAGCTGTCAGCACAGAGCCCGACATGGGGCTTGAACCCATGAACCATGAGATCACGACCTGAGCCAAAGTCAAACGCCTAACTGACTGAGTCCCCCAGGCACCCCTCTGAGCATCTGTTTAAAGTCCCTGGTCTGGTCATCCTTTATTCTCAGAAGTAAACCTAAACTGCCCATGTGGCTCCACGCCTCTGCCGTTTCAGAGAGAGTTTTTATACTTCGATAAACATGTGAGACGTGAATATACTTTATAGCTCTTATTTGAAAAGTCAAGTGTTAATGTACTATTTCAGTGAAACTTTTTAAAACTCAGTTGGATAATAGTTTTCAACACCTGATATATACTTCAGATTCTTTTGGAGAGCCTGTGTGGCTCATTTGGTTAAACTTTCGACTTCAGCTCAGGTCACGATCTCACAGTTCATGTGTTCGAGCCCCTGCATTGGGCTCTGTGCTGCCAGCTCAGAGCCTAGAGCCTGTTTTCAGACCCTCTGTCTCCCTCTCTCTCTGCCCCTTCCCCACTCGCAGTCTCTCTCTCAAAAATAAACGTTAAAAAAAATTTTTTTAGTGGCACCTGGGTGGCTTAGTCGGTTAAGCGTCCGACTTTCGCTTAGGTCATGATCTCACGGTTCATGGGTTCAAGCCCCCCGTCAGGCTCTGTGGTGACTGCCAGCTCAGAGCCTGGAGCCTGTTTCAGTCTGTGACTCCCTCTCTCTCTGACCCTCCCCTGCTCACGCTGTCTCTCTCTCTCTCTCTCTCTCTCCTAGAAATAAATAAAACATTTTTAAAAAAATTTTTTTAAAGATTCTATGGAGAGATTAGATACAAATTTCAAACACATGCATATGCTGCAAAGCCACACATCAACCAATAGGGAATTATTCAGTTGTTAGCAGGGTCTTAGTAGGTCTTATACTTTGTAAATTTTGTTTCACATGTGCTTTGTTTTGGTGCACAAAAAAGAATATACGTAGAACACAAGAGTTACAGAAAATTTTGCTATAAATTCTGTTATGTCCCACATCTTACGGCATTTTTCCTTAAGGTGAAATCGGGTGGGGGTTCACACAATAGTCCTCTGCTTCATAGTCTACTGCCATCACATGCAAAGTCAATTTGCTGATGTTCTAGAAGTTTTTCAGACCTTCCTATGCAGGAAGACTCGGCCATCACACCCCCAAATAAGCACACAGAAACGAGGTAGCAAATTTCCGACACTGTGAGAACCCCTCTGTCACGACACCATCTCCCTTCACCGTCCCACCCAACACTTCCAGTGAAAGAAATTGGTCTTTCCTTTTTTTGTTCAAAATAGGGGCCGGTGGTAATGACTGAGCAACCCCAGTCCCGACAGCGTTTCTGGGAGATTTCTTCCCACACCTGACCCCATGGCGCGTGGCCGCCCATGCTGGCCGTTCCCATCCAACCTCTTCATTTCTAGCGTTTGCCGTCCCTGATTGTGTTAACCCGTGACTGCCTGGCTGGCTCTTGGTGTCGTGGATACCAGGGCCTGTGTCCTACAGCGCGGTCCAGTTTGTCATGCATCTTCCGTTCCTTCCTTGACACATGAGCACTTTTGTGTTTCCAAGACGAGAAGTTGGTGTAAATTTTTGAAACCTGGGTCTTCGCCCTATTTTATTTTCACCGGACTTTCTTTTACTAGCCAGGGGCAGACAGGCAGGGGCTGCCGTAGGCATCCGTTTCATCAGCCAGCCGATGGTTTCGATCCACTGTCCGCCCAGACCTGTGTTTGTCTCGGGGTAGACCCTGCTATACACAGTCGTGCGCAGGTCTGAAAAAAAATAATATTCATGCGTGTACCCATGTATCTACATATATATGTGTATTGAAAATCTTGTGGTGTTTTAATATGCTCTCAGGTTGTCAGATGTCCTTTCCACTGAAATGGAATTATCTGTATTTAATGAACTGTTTCTAAAACCTAAGATGAATTCAGTCCATCAGCCATTACCTGCCATCCGTGCAAAGGGCAGCATGAGCCCCGGACATTTTCCTGTTTTCACTTCTCCCATCAGTACTGCTTTCCTGGGAAATACTTCCGACCGTAGAGAATTTGTTGGAGATCATTAGGAGCTTAGTTCTGTTTCCTTTATACCTTTATATCGATTGACACCGATCTACGGTTGTTTGCCTCAAATGTGGAAGAGATTGTCATGAGGAGGGAGTCTTTTTTTTTTCCTTTCTCTCTTGAATCAGAGGTGAGCCCTTTACACACCCACGTCTAGCCGAGTGATAGCGCGTACGACTTAGAAGTACGGACTGCGCTAGATGCTGAGACCTTGTCCTTTACCTTCCCTCACAGTGGGGGCCGCCAGTAAAGGACAGGTGCTTCTCCCGCTGAACACAAGAATAACATCTTACCTCCAGAAGATTTATTTTGGCACACTGGCCATAACTTTAGGAAGTCTTGGTTCACTCACATCTCTACATTTAAAACCATATCTTCTAGAGGAGCTCTTTTTTGAGCCTCCGTAGTTTGCGAGAGTTTGCAAGTTCATCCCAGTTCGGGAGGGTGGATGCACGGCCAGCCTCCTCCCCCACTGGTCCGCCCACCGGCCCTGGACCACACGGCCTCGGAGAAGGTGGCCGGGCGCTGAGTGACGGCTCCCTCATGACTCCTGTTCTGATAGACTAGCGCCCTTGGTTTGAAAAGCGTTTTCTCTATCTTTAGTACTATTACGGTATTTTATGTTTTTATTAATACACCCAGACATTGACGGGATTTTTCCCTTGTTAAAAATGAGCCTGTCTTTTTGGATGTGCAAGTGGAGACAGATCTGGGCTGCTGGGAGTTGACACTGATAATGAGGGTCACGGAAAGAAGACACACATGGAAATCTGTAAACACTGGGAAATGGTTTTAGCATCTAAAGAAAACAGGCTCCTAGCACTTCTAATGAGAGGCCGCTAGTGGGTTCGCCGACCTTTAACCAGTTCTTTCTGTCCTTATTGATGGCACGTTTTTGCTGTCAGCTGTCTCAGTACCAGCAGGTTACAGAACAGAACTTTCTGAGGCCTGGAGGTATTTCCTGAAGGACTCAGTGCTGATGGGAGCGATGTCATGCCTTCCGCATGTGTGCTGAGATGTCACGTGTAACCAGTGAATACATGTTCATTACCATGTTCCTTTTTTGTTTTCTTCTTCCTGTTGTTTTGATAGCCAGGCCTCCCTTATCCACCCTCTCTCCACTCCGGCCTCATCTCCTCTCCGATCAACTTTGAGCACATCTATCACATGACTGTTAATTCCGCTGAAAAATTTCTCTCTCCTGAGTCCATAAACCCCGAGTATTCCCCGTCTCTGCGCTCTGCCCCCGGTACACCCAGCTTTATGACTCTGAGGGTATGGACAGCCGAGTCAGGTGTTAACTACCACTGACCGTGTGCGGACCTCCTGAACCCAGCTTGATAAGTAACCCGCCGAGGGGGCTACCTTTGTGAATGTTCCTTCCTGCTTCTCTTCTGCCAGACCTCTCCCCCTCCCCCTCCTCCTCCTTCCCCTCCTCCTCCCCCTCCTCCTCTTCAAGTTCTATTTTCTTTCTTCTTCTGAGGAAAGACACAAAGCCTGGGGAAGATTTCACTTTTATTCTTTCAACCATATTGGAGGGTTGGTGGTTTTTGGTTTTGTTTTTTTTTTTTAAGTTTAATAGATGTTCCCATCTTGACGTCCCCTTACAGATGCCATCATTAGAAATAGCCCCGTGTGGGTCTTTACTCTGTTAAAAAAAAAAAGGAACCCCACCATTTCTGAATGTTTTTTATAGCTCATTACCCTATATCTGGCTCAATTCAGAGAAGTTTTATTGATTTAGCCAGGTTGCTTAAGGTCTGCAGCAGGACCTAGCCACGGGCCTTCTGTCTACCATAAACCCCTTTTTAAAAAGCTTCCAATTGTCCCAAGTAAAAATTACAATAGTATGAACGAGTAACAGGAAAAATGACAAAAAGAAGGTAATCCTCCTAGGCTCTGAGATGCTGATACGCCTTCAGTTCCGCCCAGGACCCACGGTACAACAACTAAATCAGAGAGCGAGAAAACACGAAGTATGCGGCATCGGGAAGGAGGGTGGCATTTGCCAATGGCCCCTTGGATGCCGCCGACATCTTTGTAGCCCGCGGCCCTTGCGGTGGCCGGAAGCTCTCCCGTCCTTCCACCCGTGGGTCCACACTGTGCTGACTGCCCAGCACTGTTCTCACAAGTTAATTTCGCAAATAAGATATTTGGGTTCTGTCGTGCAAGCCCATGTCGCACAGTGGCCTCTGACTTAGAAAAGTAGTCGCATCCATTGTTCATTTGTAGAGAGGGCTCTAGAGTGAGAAATTTCTTTTTGTATTTTTGTTTTTACTGTACACTCTAAATTATGTTTGAAATGTCGCTGTCACCAAGCCATAATGTCATAAAAATAAGTTATTTGACGAATCATAAGGTTAACTCTGATGTTAAAATAATCAGCCTTAGCTTGCTTTGTTAACTTCAGGGAGTGGAGTCTGGAGGAATATTGTGCAAATGCATTGGTCGAGAATTTTCCATACGAAAGATGACACGTGTTGTTTAGGTCTGTCCTCCGTGAGTAGAAACACTGCTGTCAGTGAAAGTGTTTCCACGTGAAAAAGACCAGCAGCTTAGGTGTTTGTAGAACGAAGGTGAACCTGAGCTGACTGAACAATAAACGTTTTTGTGTGGGTTTTTTTTTTCTTTTTCTCACAGAACATGTCTTCTGTGTGTCAGTCTTTTGTGACTTCAGCCTTGGTGTGACCACACTGGCATATTTTTACAGGCTGTTTTTTGCCATTTAGGCTAGTTTGTTCCGTAGGCAAGGACAGCACCGAGGTATTTTCAGGTTTATAGCAGGAGCAATAAAAATGTAAAGGTTGAAACTGACACCCCCATCTCTCGATCCTTCCTTTGCTGCCTCATGTGCACGTAGGTCACTGGTGTCTTAGAGGGCTGCTTCTGGGTGCGTGAATGTTAAGACGCTGGCACTGCTTTTGTTCGGTCTTATTTTCTTAGAGAATAAAAAGGTAAAGCGTTTGCTTTGAACAGATAACACGCTAAGAATTAAATGGACTTTGCAGATTTGATACACGAACCAAAACAGCAGCGGTTGAACTTAGAGCCAGTCCACCACCCTACTTCCCCTTCGTGTGGCCCTGTGACTTGGAGTTCTTCACCTGGCATCAGCGCGTTGTCCTTATCGCTGAGACCTGCGCCCGGCGTCCGTGGCTTTGACGTTAACCTTCTCTCAGGCACCAGCCCCAACGCCTCTCCTGGTCTCAAACGTCTGGGCCCATCAGGGCGGCCGAGGGCTTTCAGTTCTCAGCCAAGTCCAGACAGCCCGTCCCTCACGCCTCCTCTCTGGCTGTGCGTGACTTTTCACAACACCCTTCGGCCCACTTTTCCACCCGGAGCACCAGAATCATTCCACAGTTTGATGGAAAACTCTGTAAAGCAGTGTTCCCGAGTTAGAGCACCTCACCCCGGCTCTGATGGCTTCAGACGTGCTGCCTGTGGCCCGAGCCCCGCTCTGCCAGCCGCCGGGGCGTGGGGTGTGCAGGCGCGTGCCCTGCGGCACACGGAAAGCACTTCCTTGAGAAAAACGTGCCCTTCAGCCTGGTGCCTCCGCACGGGCTCACTCTGATCAGCTAATGCAGTTCTCCTGACCAGAGCCTCCTACGCAGTGAAACCTCCGTTTCGGGTATCTGCAAACGTCCATATAATTCTGCGCCGCGCTGTCACTTATAACCATGTAACTTCTACTTACTGTTCTCACAATAGAAAGAGTTTTTATTTGCTAATAACGGTTTCAATAAGTACAAGGACAAGCACTTATCCCTGAGCAGGGGGAGGTCGGCTTCCTTTGGGCAGGGTCATAGACTCGGGTCCTTGTTCTGTGCCACTCCGCTCGAGATCGTTGATTTGTTAGAGTGAAAATTAGACGTCTCCTCAGAAGATCACTTTCTCCAGCTGAAGAGGTTTTCCTTCTGCTTTGTTTTCAGAACCCTCGGCCTCAGGAGAGTCGGGCCGTGTTCAGCGGCTCTGTCAGTATCCCGTCTATCACCAAATCCCGCCCTGAACCCGGCCGCTCCATGAGCGCCAGCAGCGGCCTGTCAGCAAGTAAGTGCTCCCCCGGGGGACCGCGGGGCCCACCGGCTCCTCTCTCGCCCACGATGCTCGCACCCCTGCATGTCCGGCGGCCGCAGCGCCTCAGGCCTGCTGGGTGTGCCCCGTAAGCACGGGGGCACCTCTTAGGAGAGTGGTCACGGGGCCCGGAACCCCACCGCAGAGAGTAACCGGGGTAGCGTTGGCGATGGGCTCGCCCTTAAGAGTCACTGGGAAGGTCATGGGCTTTCCCTAGGGGTGGAGCGTGTCTGAGTCGTGTTTGATTGAGACAAGGCCGGTGTGGCCACCTGGTGGTGTCAGGGAGTGACTCAAACACAGGAGGTAGGCAAGGTCAGGTCAGGGACTCACAGAGCGAGTAGGACATTGTCTTCTTAGAAGCTCAGGACCTTTATCTCGTGTACATTCTTAGGAAGGTCAGTCCGTCTGCTGCCAGAGGGGGCAGGGCCACAGGCAGGGATGCAGGCACAGTCCCTGGGGCTCTCGGTGCCTCCTGGGGCTCGGCCAGGAGAGGAGGGGGTGTTCCTGGGAAGTGAGGGGGGAGAGCCACTCTGCAGGGAGAGGAGGGGATGGATCCGAGAGGTGAGCCACAGGTGCCCGGGTTCCAGAGGGCCTGGCGACACATTAGAATGGAGACCAGGGTCCATGTCACAGACCGGCTTCTCAGAAGCAGGCCTGTGACAGGCGCAGGGGCCCGTCGTTTGTGACCTGCCGCCAGGTGGCGCTGGCTGCACCGTCGACCTCTGTCCCCTGAGCCGCAGTGTGGCCTTGCTGGTGCTTCCGCAGAAACCTGGAGCTCGGCCGAGGGACGTTCGGAGGGGAGTCGGGGTGGCGTGTCCATTGCAGGGGTGCTGAACTCCGCCTCCTTGGTCCACACAGGGTGCACAGAGGCACCATGTAGCCACCTGTAACCATCGCGTGTCCCACTGAATTCGCGAGGACCTTTGGTTGTTCCTGGGTCACAAGCGGCGATGTAGACAGTCTATCATCTGCTTGTCTGTCACTTTCTCGGAAGTAGGGTGGTGGCTGGTGGGGGGGAGGGGAGGGGCTGGCCGCAGCTGGTCTCCAGGGGAGGCAGATCCGTGTTCAGTAAACGTATCTGTGGCCTCGAGTTCTGGAACATCAGCTACATGGACAGAGGGTCCCCCCTCCATGGTTGTTCTCTGGCCCCGGGCCGTGCGAGGACCGAAGTGAGGATCCTGGGTTTTCCCCTTTCTGAGGGCCCGGGATCTGGGAGCAGCCAAGCTGGATCTGCGCGGGGTCCCCTGGGTGGCCGCGGCTCCTCGTGTGGCTGGAAGCCTGCGTCCCTCGCCCCGCGGGCCTGAGCGTCCCGGCCCAGAGCAGGTGGCCTCACGGGCAGGTGGAGGTGGCAGCCTTTCTGTAACCTCCTCTCAGACGGGACTCGCTGGCCCTGGGGCCCCGTGCGGCGCTCAGACCCAGAGGCCAGGCTGGGGGCACCCGCTGGGGGCGGGGGGGGCCCTTGCCCATGTCCTGAGAGATGCGCTGGCCCGTGTGTGGCCCTGACCACAGTGAAAACTCCAGCCAGTTGGAAAAGCGATGACCACTTTTTTTTTTTTTTTTTACTAATTAATGGTGGCTAAACGAGGTCACAGGTTTGCCTTATAACCGCTGTGAATTACCCGGATTCAACACACGGAGCATCACAACGGTAATATTTTAGCCCATGAGTTTTCAGAATCCAGATTTTTTTACATACATTTGAGGAAAGAGTCTGTGGAATAATGTGTTACATTCCCAGCAAGATCAGGGCCACCACCCGCCACCCACAAATGTGTCCGTATTTGTCCCGCCGGATTCATGGCAGGCCATGCTAGAAACCTGTAGATAAATGTGGTCTTTTAAAATGAGCTCCAGGTGGCTCCCACCAGGGTCGCCACCACCCGGGTCCACATCAGCCTCAGGGAGGCGCCCCAGGCCCCTGTGGGATGGCAGGTGGAGACGGGACCTGTGAGGCAGAGCCCAGCTGCAGACCGGGCTGTGGGGCTGCTGTCAGGCGTGGCTCCATGAGGTCCCTGTCTAGGAATCCCCGAGGGGCATCTGCTGTGATGAGTGCCTCTCACCGGCTTTAAGAAGACTCCAGCTTATGGGAGAAGTTTCCAGAAGGACAGCCAGATGAGAGAGAAATGAGAAGTAACTGGGGACTGCGTTGTCTGTCTCCACAACCAGCCAGACTCAGGATGGCTTCCCGACACACAGCTGTTGACCGCCGTGGTTCCATCCAAGCTGCTGCCCTCCCCCGGGAGGAAGATGCGCTCCCATTAGCGACCTGGCCACTGGGGACCGTCGACACCTCGCTGCCCACCCCCCCGAGTGTGTGCTCTCAGTCAGCCAGGACCGGTCCTCAGACCGTCCCCAGGCCCCTTTGGCGGTCTGCTTTAATGGTTTAAGATTGAGTGATTGTCTTTTCTTTGAAAGGAACATTCCTGAAGTTCTTCAAAAAAGCGTAAATCACTGGGGGGGGGTGGGGGGGATGCATTAGTTTCTTCCTAAATAATCACAGCGCGGAAGGAGGGACTCCGGTAGATAGACAAGTGCGCTCACACCTGCAGGCCCTGCTGGGTCACATCCGTGTCCATGTGCTGAGCGCGCTCGTTCCCACAGAAACTCCGGGGTAGAAGTTAGTATTTGCAAATGAAAACCGAGACTCAGAAGGCCACACTATTTTCTTCTATTTTGAGGAGGGGGAGGTGGCACAACATGCACACAAGCTGGGGGAGGGACAGAGGGAGAGAACCTTAAAGCAGACCTCCCTCTCCATGCGGAGCCTGAGCTGGGACTCGATCCCTCGACCCTAGCCTCAGGACCTGAGCCAAAATCAAGAGTCGGAAGCTCAGCTGGCCGAGCCCCCCGGTGCCCCGGGGACCCACGGTTAACCAACAGATCAACGGAAGCCTCTAGCACTTTGGAGCTCCTTCTCAGAGTAACAGGATTTCAAACCCTAACGTGCGCAGCTCCTGGAGCGCGAGGCAGGCGCGGGAGCCCGGTGAGGTGACTGAAGGGCCCAGAAGAGCCACGTCAGAGAAGTAAGGCGTGCGTCCCCGGGGAGGAAGGACGAAGAGTCCATGGTTCCCAGCCAGGGGTACGTCCCGGAACCCTCATAAGAGGCTGAAGGGCTGCGTAGGCAGGGTCCCGCTCTGCCGCCCCGGATGCCTGCGTCCAGGGGCCGCGATCCACGTGCTTGAAACGGCCCTCTCTGACCCCCTTATCGAATTGTCCGTGCGGGAAAACCAAACGGGGGCTCGTCACGCCAGCGACAGCCTAGCCCTTGTGCGGAGACCATGGCACAGGCGTCTCTGACCAGGGGTCCTGACGTCGAAGGTCATCAAGGTTACCGTTTTTATGCAAAAACTAAAAAATAAATAGGAACACTGAGCACTTTAGGTACGAACAGTACCCGGTACTTCCGGGGGCGACATCCTTCTCCCTCCTCCCAACGGTGCCCGGCCGTCCTGGTGGTGCCTCGGCGGCGCGGAGACCCAAGGGGAACGGGTTTTAGGGGTTTTAAAGAAACTCCCCTGCTTTTTGCATCCCAGGCTCTCCGCCCCTCGGAAGGAGAGTGCTTCTCCCCGTTCTTTGCTGCTTATGCAGACCCTCCAGCAGTTAAGTGACAGGTGCAGAGGCGGCGGCCTTGACCGCGGCCCCACAGGCGGCCCCAGGGCAGGCACGCCGTCCACAGGGACCTCACCCGGGCCGTGTCTTGCAGGGTCGTCGGCGCAGAACGGCAGCGCCCTCAAGAGAGAGTTCTCCGGGGGGAGCTACAGTGCCAAGTGGCCGCCCGTGCCGTCGCCGTCCGAGGGCTCCCTGTCATCCGGAGGCATGGACCAGGGGAGCGACGCCCCGGTCAGGGACTTCGACGGAGAGGTGCGTGTGGGCGGGGAGCATCCATGTCTGGTGGGGGGAGAGACTCGCGCACTTGGGGCGCCGGCGGCTCAGCGGGTCAGGCCTCCTGCGCTCCATCTCAGGGTGGGGGTTTCAAGCCCCGCACCGGGCCCCACGCTAGGCTTGAAGCCTGGTTTTTAAAAAAAAAAAAAAAAAAAGACTTGAGAGCGACCTCCGCTGCAGCAGGGAACCCCGGCGGGGCGGGGCGGGGGCGCTGCAGAGAGGACTGCGGACCCCACGTTCTGGGCTCCGTTACTGGGCTCCTCGCACGGAGCGGGGGGGGGGGGGGGGGGGGGGGGGGGGGGGGGGGGGGGGGGGGGGGGGGGGGCGGGACGGCTCACGGATCGAGCGCCTCCGCTTCTCACCGTCTGCTCGGGCCCCCAGGACTCCGACTCCCCGCGGCACTCCACAGCCTCCAACAGCTCCAACCTGAGCAGCCCGCCCAGCCCCGCGTCGCCCCGCAAGACCAAGAGCCTGTCCCTGGAGAGCACGGACCGCGGGGGCTGGGACCCGTGAGCGGCCTCGGCGCTCAGAGCCGGCGCCAGAGCGGCCTCTCCCCCACCCAACACCCGCAGCCCCTCCACCCCCGCCCCTGCCCGGGAGGCCCTGGGCCAGGCAGCAGGAGCAGGGTGGGGGTTCGGGAACATGGACGATGCCCCTGCAGCCCCCCTCGCCCCCTCCGCCCCCCATCCCCTCACCCCCACAGCAACCACCACAAAGGCAAACTCACTGAGCAGCTTCCATGAGTATCAATTCCATTTTGTACACTTAGAGTCGCTTTCCATATAGTTGCCCCCCCACACCCCAGGTAGCTTGAGTAGACGGATCCTGTGGCGGCGCGGGGAGAACATCAGGCAGACTGGTGTCCTGGGGGGGGGGGGAGTGTCCCCGTCCCCAGCGGCACCGGTGCCTGTGGCGGCCGTCGACCCGATCGTCGCCGGTAAATCCTTATTCACTAAAGCAGGCATATTTTACTACAATACAGAGTTTAAATAAGTACACAAATGTAGAGTTAAATACTGAATGTACATAGTAAAAAGAAGCATCTTGTATTCAACAAAAGATGGATACGTATATAAGAGAGAGCATTTAATTTAAAGAAATGTGTTGTTTCTTGTCTGTTCTCCAGCTCAGTACTTTGAAGGGTAGGAAGGCCTCGAGTGTAGACACTCGCAGGCTTGAGGAGTCAGAGCCCCCCTCCCCCCGCCCCGCCCCCGCCCGGCTCTCACACTGGTCCCCTGGGGGCTTCAGGAAGACATTCCGGAACTTGGCGTCCCCTGCTCTGGGCCGTGACCCAGGCGACCCAGGCGGCAGACGTAACCCCGGAAGCCGCCTCAGCAGCAGCGTCGAACAGCTAATGTGCTTCCGAGACCGGCCTCCTCCAGCGGCGGGACTCCAGCCCGCTCGGTTCTCCGCCGTTGGCACCTTCTGCAGAGGAGAGTCGTAGAAACGCCTTCCCGCCGCGTCCCGAGCCCTTCCGTCGAGATGACGCAGGATGTCGTGGCTTCCAAGGGCCCCTAAAATGTTCCGAGGAGCGCTTTTCTCCTGGGCCACCCGGGCCCTCCCTGCGCTGGCCCCGTCCGAGGGTGGCGCGCGCTCTGCGGAGAAGCCTGAGGAAGGGTGTCGCTACCAAATAAAATAAAACCTCAACTGCAAGGACTTGAACAGCCTTAACCAAATACCCTTCCCCACGCGGGCGGGGAGCAGAAGCGCACGGCCCCGGGCGCGGGCAGGGAGCTCGCGGGCCACCACCCCCCCCCCCAGCCTGGCCAGCGGCGTCCCTTGTGCCCGCGTGACGCCCGCCGCCCTGGCCCCCGCGAGCTGCACGCCCGGGAGAGCTGTGCTTATTCAGACCTAGCTCACCGGTTAAGCACATGTGAGTGGAGGGAGAGAGAAATAAAGTATCTCCTGGAAGTAACGAGAACCTGTGTCAAGTTTTCTTTTTACCTGTAACTCTCCGGGAGCTAGAAAGGCGGTGTCCTCCCCGCTCAGGACTTCAGCTCACAGGGACCCCGAATGGCCGTCCCGTCTCCCCAGCGCAGGCCCAGCTCAGCTGATGCTCGGCCACGAGGGGAGGATGGGGGGGGGGATCGCTGTGTGGCAGAAGGGTCGCAGCAGAGAATTAAGGGGTTGGGTTTTCAAGCGTCATCCGGGCAGGTGGCCTGCAGACGGGCCTCGCCACCGCGGGTCCTGAGCTCCGAAATCGGCCCACCCTGGGGAGAGGAGGGTCTGCCAGCCGCTCCGAGGGTCCAGGTGTCGAGGATCAGACCGTGAGTTTGCTTCCCGCCCTCCGACCCGGTGGCTCCGCGAACTCCTTCCCTCCCTTTCCCTGCACCCTTCCCCTCCCCCGCCGGCCCTGCTGCGGTTCACGGGGACCCACACTAACACTAAGCCGTTAGTTTATAACTTTGACAACCACTCGTGAATTTTTGTTACCTGTAGGTGCTTCTTTATTGAAGGATGCTTTTAGGATCAAAGTATCCCCCCCTCCTGAAGCCTGGGCCCCACCGCAGGGAGGCCGAGCGGGCAGACGAGAGCAGGGAGCCCCCGAAGGCTTGGGCCCCAGCCCGGCTCTCAGGGAAGCGCACAGCGGGGCTCTGCAGGGGAACACCGCGGGGGGTGGGGGGGGGTTACAGCCTTCACCTGGGCTTCACACACACGCGCACACACACATGCACGCACACACACACACACACAGCACTAGCACAGAGCGCTTACCGGGTCCTGTCAGAAGCTTCTCAGAGTGACCAGAAAAGACCAGGGCAGGTTCCAGGGAGGCGACAGTGACGTTCATTCGATCAGATCCCAGAAGGGGCGTCGCCATCCGAAGTCATGTGTTGTCAGCAGGACCTTTTAAGGACTGGCAGGCAGTGCGGAAGGAGCTCGCAGGGAGAGGCTGTGAGGGGTTGGCGGCCTACTCTCTCCAAGTTGGTGTTTGGCGCTGTGTCCGCCCGTTGTCTAGCCCGGACTTCTCCTGAATCTCACTTTCGTGCTTTGGGGATATAAAATTATACGCATGTATATACATTTCTTTTTGCCAAATATAAAAGCCTTCCTCCTCGCTAAGTGATTACTGGAGAGTTCCGCGGCCCTACTGCGTGGGCCACGCACACTCGGTCCCGGGAGCAGGTGGAGGGGTGGGAGCCCGAGCTGGAAGGGCCCGTCCAGTCAGTTTCCCACACGCAACTCGCACCCGAGCTTCTAGGAAGAATCCGAAATTCCTGGTATGTTCACAGCCACAGTCTGTCACTCCCAGGCTGGCTCTCGGCCTCCCTCTGCCTTCTGTACGGTCAGGTTGTTTGTCACTTAGCGCCCATGCGCACTTCGGTAAAGGACCGGTTGCATTTATGAGGACTCTCAGGTATCACTTGGGCCAGAGCAGGGGTGGGGCGGCGGTCAGACGGGGTGGCTTCCTGGCCAGGCAGGTGTCTGGATGGAGGTGCGCACCCAGTAGCAGTCAGATGGGGAACTGGCGGGACCCCCTCCGCCCCCCACGGCCCTGGCCCAGCGGATGGGCTTCACGCCAGTTCATGGAGCGCGTCCTGAAGCCTCTTTCCTTGTTGGGACTTTCACTGTCGCCCGAATCTGGATTCTGTGCGGAGTCCTGCCAGGTGGGGGACCGGGTGGGCGCGAGCGGTCATCCGCCAGCAGCTGGGGCCAGCGGGCCAGGCCAGCCCTCCTCCCCAGAGACGACTGTCACACACAGGCAGCTGTGTCACGGGACGGTTGACAAAAACCAACCTTGAAATTTCATGAAAACAAAAACGATCTGCCTTTTTGATAAAGTAACATCTTTTTATTAATTTCTTAGGGTTTTTCTCATTCTAATATTATCGTACAGTATTGCCTGGCCTCGGTGGCATCATTCGTTGGGACTAGAATGCGGACAGATGGGTATGTGGAAGGCGAAAGCCGCTGCTTTGGCCTCTGCTCACTCTTGATTTCCTTTGGTTTGGTTTTACGCCCTCACTCTTAGGGAAGCTTCTAAGTGATTCTCTGCTACCAGACAGTGGTGTGGATCTTCCGCACAGAAATGTAACATGACTCCTCGCCAGTGATTCATGCTGGCGTCACTTCGTATTAACCGGAACTTGATGTATCGCAATAAAACAGGGACCTGTTGGACTTGACTGTTCTCTTCTCTCCCAGATCAGAAGGTCTGAGGAGAGGACGGGTCTTCCTGGATCCCGCCTTCTGCCACCCCCCTCCCCCTGCAGGACCCGGATTCGCGTAAGCCAGGACCACTTAGTTCCACCGCAGCGCGCTCCATCCTCTGCTGTGATGCCCCCCCCCCCCCCCCCCGCCACGGCTGTTATGTGCGACCGTACCACCCCGGTGGTGGCTGGTTGTCTGCTTCTCACAGTTAGGGCCCCGCTCCTGCCCCTGGGTCGGTTCCTGCCCCTGGGTCGGTTCAAATGGCACATCTGGGGACACACAGGCCATGCCAGGTGCTCTTAACGAGGTTAAGGTGAAACTGGCTGTGACTTCTTGTCAGAGAAGAGAGCCACTCCCCCCCCACCCCCCGTGGTTTCGCACGCGGTTGACATTTCCGACTGTTCTCAGTGTGTCGCTGCCGCATCATAGCGGGTGCCTCGCCGGAGAGGCAGGCTCGCAGCGGGTGGGGGCAGGCGCGGCCAACTCCCCGCAAGGGGCCCGTGAAGGTCTCCTGACACCCGGAGACCCAGGGCGCCCCTGCAGGCGGGGGGGTGCGGGGCACACAGTGCCCCCCACCCAGTTAAACCCGGACAGAACCTTCCAGGCACGTTTGGAGGCGGCAGGGGTGTGACATGGACCCTAACCCTTTCCCGGGGGAAGAATGAACACAACGACACTGGGATGGCGGGGTTTTGGTGGTGGGTTTTTTTTTTAATATTGAAACAAATCAGACAATTATAAGAATTGTACAAAAATTAAACCCTCGGGGCTAAGCAGGTGACATCTGCACATCGTCTCCTTCCACAAACACCACCTTCCCACACAGGGACAACAGCGCTGTCCCTGTCCCTGCGGCGGGCAGGGCCTGTTCAGAGCACAGGCTGGAGGGAAGGGCAGAAAACAAACCTCATTCTAGACACGCACACACACAAGCCTTCGTCTCCACGGTCCGTAAAATCCAGGGGTTTCTCAGTCTTTCTGGCAGCGGGGATGCTCTCACCTTCTGGCTAACGTTCCATCAGGAAAAACCCGGGTCTGGAGAGGAGAGGCGGCGCCTTAGCTTTTCCACCCATTCGCAGTGTGGACGGCTCGCCCCGCCACCCTCTGGGCAATAAACCCGCCTGGAGGCTCCAGAGCCCCACGCGTGGACGCCCGCCTCGCCCGCTACTGCGCGGCCTGCTGCCGTTGGTAGTTGCTGTAGGCCTCCTCGAACATGGCCTTGCAGGGGAAGCGGGCCTTGAGCTTGGAGCAGATGAGGAAGGAGCCCCCCATCTTCCTGTGCAGGGAGTAGGTCTCCTCGGGCGGCGGGATGAGGCGGTGCTTCAACATGATGGGGATCAGGCCGTGGATCTTCTCCGTGGTGCTCTGTGTGCCGAAGTCGAAGGGCTCCTCCGAGGCAAAGGCCTCCCCGAGGATCAGGATGGCGTCCAAGTGCGCGTCCTCCATGGCCTGGTGGGGGGAGGGGGCGGGGCACAGGGTGAACGGCGCCCCCAGCAGGCCACTCAGCAGGCGCGGGCAGGGTCAGGTTAACCGGGTGAGCGAGCGGTGACCGTGACCAGGAGGAAGCTGCAGGGCTCGGGGGAGGCCGCTGTGCTCCCCTCCCGCCAGGAGAGGACAGGGCTGTGCTCCCGGGACCTCGAGGCTATGCCACCCCTTACACGTTCCCCTGGGCCTGCTCCACGTCTACGCAGGCCCATGTAGGAGTGGAGCGCAGGGCAGAGGCAAGGCCGGAGGAGAGGGCGCCCTCACCCCTCCATCTGTTTACAAGTCGAGGTTCGGCTTCGAAGGACGAAGGAGCCCCCTTACCAGCCACCCACCCTCCCCTGTCACCCTGTGGGGCTGACCTTGACCTCGTAGCCAGTGAGGAACTTCATCTCTATGGACTTCTTCAGCACTGCCTCCCTGTCCCTGTCGGCCGCTGCCCTGATGATCTGGGGACGACGCACAGCAGGGACAAAGAGCAGCTCCTGAGGAGGCGCTCCCGGGGCCAGGGACCCCCAGCTGCCCCCCCACCCCATCTCCCTCACTGTCCTTCCAACCCCCACCCACCCGCCTGTGGGCCTTGAGTCTCCAAGCACCCTGAGGCCAGGCCCTGCCCCCCCTCCCTGCGCACCTGAATGTAGAGGTCAGTGAAGGATCGGTCAAATTCCCGGGTTGCCCCAAAGTCCAGCAGAGCCACCTGGGGGCAGGTGATGGGGGGAGGTTTGTCCTGGTGCAGCAGGGCCGCCCCCGCCCCCTGCGGAGCTCCGGGGGGCTCACCTTGTGCTGCTGAGGGTCATAGAAGAAGTTGGACCAGTTGGGGTCCGTCTGCATGAAGTGGAACTCGAACAGCTCCCGCAGGCACAGGACCAGAATGTTGTAGCAGATCTGGGGGCGGGCGGGCGGCCAGTCACCGCGGCCCCTCCTCCAAACGCCACTGCCCCACCCCTTGCTGCACCGGGGACACGGCGACCCTACCCGTCCCCGCCAGACACACCTCGTTCCGGACCTCCTGGCTCAGCCCCTCGGCCTGGTCCAGGGGGAAGCCGGTCACCAGCTCTGTGGTCAGCACGTGGGGGCTGCAGAGCTCGTCCACGATCTCGGGCACGTAGAAGAAGGGATGATCCTTCAGCAGCTCCCTGCAGTGGTGGGGGGGTCACACCCCGGCCACGGAGCCTCAGCCCCTCACCCCTCAGTGCTGCAGGGCCTTTCGCCCCCCAGCTTCACCCCCCAGGGGGCCGCCTGTCTCCCGGTCGGAGCTCCCGCTGCACCTGAACTTGCGGGCAC